CGGGGGGGGGGGGGGGGATCTAGCAGAAGATGCTCACTCTCTCTACGATGTAAACTGTGAGTCATTAATGACAGAAAATAATGAAGATGTAACTATATGGAAGGGAAAAGGCAGACATGGGGGTCCATGTAAGAAAGTGGAGCATCCCTTGTTTCTGACAAAGAGGCCAAAGCAATTAAGTTTCATCTGCCTGGTGTTGGTTTCAGAAAGAAATGATATTTCAACTCTGGGCTTCTCAGACCAGGCCTAGGACTGATTTCCCCAACTCTGGGTGCTCAAGCCTCAAGCCAGAGGGGCCAGCCGGCTCAGGGCTCTGTCCTCTGGGGCCCCCACATTCCGACTTGGAACTCTGCAACAGTGGGGCCTTGGAGACGGGGGCCCTGGCCATTTCGGGTCCCATCAGGACTAGGGACTAGGAGGGGAGGTGCCAGCTACGATGGAGCTGTACCTCAACTTCTGCTCCAAGAAGGCCAAGGCTGACTCTATCAAGACGGCCACCAACAGCCTGGGGGAGGAGGTGAGGGGCCAGACCAGGTTCTGGTCTTTGATGGGCGGGGCAGGGAGAGCCCCCACAGGCCCCACTGGTAACCAGTGCCCTGGTGGGGCTCGGCGTTAGTGTGAGCGGCGGGTGAGGCCCCAGGTCCCCTGCCTGCCCTTTGACCCTGACTGTGAGCCTCCTGGCTTCTTTGGGGACAGTAGGAGCAGGGAGGTCTCACCCCCGGAAATAGAGCCTAAAGGAAAGGCGAACACTCCCCAACTGGCCCTGACAGGGAGGCCCGAGCCCCCTCCCCAGGCATCGAGCGAGCGGCTGGAAAGGGATGATCTCTGTCTTTCCTTCTCAGGGAGAAACGGTTCCTTTGGTTCAGTTTCCCGCGTCTGTAATGGATGCAAAATACACTTAGATGGAGCTCAACAGAATTAGCTCTTTAGAAAGTACAGGGGGGTTACTGAACACTAAATAGAAAAAGGCGTATCAATGGGACGTCTTATTTCTGGTAAACTTTACACTGTATACGCACAGAGATAAGCGTATGTGCATGATGCATACTTTCATTTTAATAGAAAATGCTTACAAGGCAAGTCGATCGACTACAAGACAACAACCAGCTACCTGGACGTCCTGAAGTTACCCAGTTCCAAAACTGGATGCTAATGGACCCCGTCCCATCTTTCAGGGACCAGGAGCGACTCATACGGCACAGGTAGGGCTCGAGGGGCTGCCTGGTGTGTGTTTGCACCGTGCACACCAATAAGCTGGGAAAATACTAGAAAAAACTGGAGTTGGGCATGTTTTGACGCAGTAAAAGGAATTGGAGTCGGGCATTGTTTTGACGCAGTAGAAGGAATTGGAGTCAGGCATTGTTTTAACGCAGTAGAAGGAATTGGAGTTGGGCATGTTTTGACGCAGTAGAAGGAATTGGAGTTGGGCGTGTTTTGACGCAGTCGACACGATTTAACGCCACTACTGCCCTCAGTATAATCAACCGGGAGCTGGAGTACCGGGAGCGCCGGGCGGAGGAGCAGCGCCGGCTCTGGATGGACCGGGAGGAGCGGCGGCACTGGGACCACATGCGCAGGAAACTGGGGCTGCGCAGGAAGATTGAGGAGGTGAGATGCGGGTGTGGGGGTTTCGTTCACAAGTGACTTAGCTGTCAGCCTCCTGACGCCATGCCAGGCCTGAGTCCCATGCCCACACGCAACCTCTCCTGGCTCCCCCAGGCAGCGGCTGCACCCACTGGGAGCTCACATTGCGACTCCATGGGGCAGGAACCTGAGGAAGTTAGTGCCAAGTCAAAAATGGAGGTGGATTAAACTGTCCTTAACGCTGACGTGGAGGTGCACCGTCCCTAGAGGAGACGGTGTGAGCGCTCAGGTGTCACCTCCTCGGGTCCCACCTTGGCCATTCCGCGGCCCAGCCCGTAGCTTAGGAAGTGGAAGGGCTTTACCCTGTGTGGGTTCCTCCCCCCTCCCCTCTCCTCCTCCATGAAGGTGAGGGCTTGGGCGGCACAGCCTGACTTTCATGTCCGCTGGATTTATTTTGTGGTGGTTCTGTAAGCATATGACGTACCCGAGACCGGACTCCAGATGTTCAAGGCTTTGTAAGTCCCTGGGGACCCGGCATACAACTTTTTCTTAGGAAACACTGATCTTTCTTTCTCTGTTTGAAATCAAGTTCTCGGTTATTTCAGTCTTCTTTGCAAACACAGACCCTTAGAGCCGCTGAGTTGGGAATAACACGGTGCCCCATGGTTTCACCGGGTCTGCTCCCCCTCTAACCATAGTCCTGTCTGCAGCAGACACTGGTGCCCACCGGGAGGGGGGGTGGGAGGGGAGCCGCTCACCCGTGCCTGCGCTGCAGGTACCTGGACATGA